GCTATATATATATACATATATATGCAATGTTGTAGTTCTTGTTGTTGCTGGATATGAAGATGCGCCTAATCTTTCTTACACAGGCCAGACAACTTCAAAACCTTCAATACCGTTTAACAGACGAGAGATGCCATTTAACAGACGAAAGATGCCAATAAGCACAGTGCCTAGCCAGCGTGAAATTGCCAGTAGCATGCAAAGAAATACAGTTGCATCCAAAACCAGTAGGCAAGGCTCTATTCACTCACGTCCCAGTCGTACCCCGACTGGAGGCTCAGCCCGTCAGGAAGCAATTACAAGGACGTTTTCTTTGCCAAAGAATTTCTCTGTAAATAAGCATTTTAGTGATCCACGTGAAGTCATGTTTGGATTCCCTTCCTTTGATAAAAAGCTGAAAGAATTACTTGCTAAAGTCACTATCGAGGATGCTAAACCTCAAGCACCCAGATTTGAAGTACTTAAGCCAGAAGAGGCTCTGAGATGCAGGTAATGACAACCACGGCAGTGTGTCTTAAAATTCAAAATAAGCTGAAATGGGTTCCAGTGGATGTCAGACTTTGGAGTATGGGGCTAGAGATAGCTTCAGATTAGTAAACAGCTGAGAAAGTCCTGTTGTCCAGTGTAGAACTCACCTATGAGATACCTGAAAATCATGATTGAGTTATGGGAATCAGTTTATCTACATTGCTTCCCACCATTTACACAGACCAGAATAGAATGTTACAGCATAAATACAGCCCATCAATTTGACGTCAGTGTTTTTCTCCAAATGAACCAATCCACTCTCCAGCTTGCTCTCCACAACCTTTAAGAATCGTTCCAAATCTGTTTTCAAAGAATGCGTAAACTCTAGTTTGCAGCCGAGAATTCCACATTCTTACCAACCTCCATGTAAAGAATCTTCTTTTTTAACCACCCTTCCCTTTCCTTTTTGTGATTATATTACATTTCTGCTGTCTAGTTACCTACTCACCAAAACCAGTGGAAAATCTATGACTATTTAATGGTGATGTCACTCGTTTATCTCATAGTTGGGAACAATATATATATATATATATATATATATATAAAGTACTATAAAATGGAGCGATTTCTCAAGGCTCCTCCACCTTTTAAGACAATTCCTGGATCTTGGCGAACCCATCACCAAATTCCTCTAGACAAGTCGGGAATCGAAAGTGTCGGAAACAGCTCAAACATCCCAATGAGATGGTCAATTTAAGTGTCTCCAACTGCAGAATCCTAGAGGGAGGCTTTGTTCTATGCAATGAGGCTCTGGAACTGCTACTGGGCAGCAATTGCATAGAACAAAGCTTCCCTATAGAATCTCTAGCTGAGCATGGAAGCAAGGCTATAGCCTACACAACTTTTCCTTCACAGACCCACTGAAAAGACCAGTAAGAACCCTGCAAGCACCCCAGTGCTTGGAAGCAGGACTGGGCCTTAAAGCCCTCTCTCTCCAGTATAATGTAGCAGTGAACTCTCAGAGGAGCTTCCTACCAGTGCCTTCAATGCATCGTATGCAAGGGGTTTCACTGGAGGACAAGCTGCTTCCTCACGTGGCTTGATAAGATACTTGAGTCCATGTATATTCTTTCCTCCAAGACTCTTTTTTGTTTATTTTCATCTCACCTCCTCTTAGGATCTTGCCATCCCAAGTGATCTCCTCCCAGGCCTCTGTAACCAACTGATACGATGTGCCTGAATACAGTCCAGGTTGATTTGTTGCAGTTTCCTCCTTAGGGTCAATTCCTGGCCTCCAAGTTAGCAGTTTTGTATTGAGCCAGCTGAGGTGGAGAGAGCTCACCGCATAGGGAATTACGTATTGCAGTGTGTTGGTGCAGCAGTAGACCAGAGGGCCGCCCACACGATTCATTTTGAATGGTCGGGTAATTTAGTTTAATCCAGAAAAAAAAACAGGCTATATTTTATACTATGCATTCATATTTCACTATTTGAAACAAAATGATGCCTTAACCTATCCCTCCACGAACAGAAATAATATTTGCATTTCGGCAAACCTGCGGCCTAGTTTTATTTGGTCTGTTCAGTGCATAAATGTCGTTGTAAATACTGTGTTAAATTCAGGTCAAATGTGCCAGCAGGGTTACAAAATGTGGCAATCTGGCCAAAGGCATCTGGCAAAAGCCAGTTGTACAGCTGCAATCTAATCTCCCTTGTGCCAGGCCTGTTCAGAATAAATGTGAACAACCTTTGCCCTTTTCTGTGCTTACAATGAGCATCAACACTATTTTCATCAGAGTAAATATGACCTGGGCTCTTCCAATCGAGGTGCTATTGGCATCTGTCAAGAGTAATCTGGCCTTTACTATTCCACATTAAATGTTTCGGATTTAGGTTTTAAGTGAAATACGAGAATTTCGAAGCTCTATCTGTTCACATAACCTGGAGTGATTGTCATTATGCCCAGTTTATAATATTCATTTGGGAAAGCATCAATGAGAAAATTGCAGTTTCTGCATGCATAACATCAAAAGCAATTTCATCTTTTGGGGGGCGGGGAGACTATACAAGTATCTCTTAGATAAACAAATCATTTTTAACTGCAAATAGAAATGTTCAAGACTGACCGATACAGGAGATGCATCAATTCTAGTTATTATAGCAAGGCAGGCATTGAGATAAATATTTATACATTTAACTAAAATGCAAATAGAGAGCACAGAACTCCCCCCCACCCCAAAGTGCTTGTGTGGCACACAGTTCTAAATCCAATTTTGGCCTATCTCCCTACTCCTCCTCCCCTGCTGCCCGCTGCAATCTAACTTGACCCAAAGGGAGCGTTTTGACTTATTTGTTTCCAATCAAAGCTATCCACTCAGCTGCATTCTCTGCCCAAAATTCTCTAACCTCCAAGCACTCTGCAGCTTCTATCCTTATCTCCCCTCTTTATCTTCATCAGGTCTCATGTACTGCATGAAGCTTACCACCTGCTGTCTCAATCCATTACCATAACAGCTCCTGAACAGCTCAACCCCTTGAGCAGTGACAGTCAACCTCTTTCCAACATGAAGAACTCTCATCCCCCCATTCAATACAGTCACCATCATTCTCTTTCTTCAAATACCCACTCTTAACCTCTTTGTTTTCTCAAATTCTTGCTCCCATCTGCAGGTTTCCTTCCAAAGATCTTCGAAAATACTATTGTTATCAGGGACCTTGCTCACTCTTCCCTATTGGAGCGTCTGTAGACCAGATGCCCACAAACAGCCATGAAGTGAATGACCAATTTTACCTGGGAGATTGTTGGCCAGGCCACTGTGAGGAACTCCCTTTCTTTTCGAAACATCCTACGGTATCTTTAATGGCCACCTGAACAGTCAAACAAGATCTTGCATAGGACAACTAGAAGCGAATAAAGCAGCATATTTATATTATTTGCCTTAAACCTGCCCAGCAACTCTCCCTGTATGTTTCTCTGCAGTCTATTAATTATGCATTTCTTTCCAGATATTTGAGATTGTCTCAGAGTAACATCTCTACCTTGGTGAAGCAATGTGAAGATTCTGGATTCCAGATGGATCTTCACCCACACATGAAAGAGGAAGACGTCAACATAAGCAGGGTTTTTGCCCACTCTCCCAAAACTAACACACTGTAATACCCAATTTGGATGCTTATCAATGTCATATTTTCTTTATGTGCCTCAGATGTCTCCACTCGCTATCTTCTGAATGTTTTATTATAATGCTTTCTTTAATAAAATAGTTTCAGTTCATCTGCACTTTTTTATTTCCTTCTGACATATCATGAGTAGAGATTAAAATTCTGGTGTGACTGGAGAAATTCAGTCTAATAATTAAATTAAATTACAAACCATATTTTTTTTTGATAAGCAGTCATATATGAGGGAGAGGGTAATAGAGGGATATAAGAGAGGGGAAAAGAGGGATATATGAGAGAAGAATAGAAAGAGTGGAAGCTCATGTTGAGTATAAACACTGGCGAGGACTTGTTGGGAAATGGCCTGTTTGCATGTAATTTAAGAAGCTTTAATGTTTTTCTTGCTGCAAGCACCAGCAGAATGTGTAGCTACAATATTTTTTAAACTCCATATTAAAGAACAGCTGCTATGTATTCATAAATATTTTAATAAAACAATTTAAAGCTTAGGCATCTTTAAGTACTAAGAATATACAAAAACCTAGAACCTATCAACGTTGATCCTAACTTCTAGGTCTCCTTTGCTAAGTCCCACGCTTACTCTCCTTAAACACTTTTCTCAGTCAAATTAGTTAGGGAAAACTGGAGAGGATAGGAAGTGTTTTGGAAAGAATAATGTTTTGGTCAGACAAATGATGAGTTGCTTGTTTTAAACCACAAGGTTTCAAGTTAAAAATCCGCAAGAAGTAAAGGATTTTTTTTAGCAGTTTTCAACATTTTTTTTGGGGGGGGGTGGGAATGGCATTTCTTGCTTTAAAAAAAGAGTAAAAGTGACCTCCGTCTAACCTCCCTTCCTCTATATAGCAAACTTAAAAAACTGCGGTTTCAAAAAATAGAACAGCGGCCAAGAGAAATAATGGGAGAGCACTGACTCATGTCACTTTGAATCATGGGAGGTGTCTGCAGTTTCTGTCGCTGGGCACATTCAATGTCTGGGAGAGAAGGGGAAATAAGTTGATTCTCAAGTTATGTTGTATTAATTTTACCACAACTATTACACACCTGCAATCAGCCTTGATCCTAGTGTTACATAGAGTTAAATGGGGTCTCCCACTAGCAGTCAATAACCATCGCTGCCACTGTGTGCACGCACTTACCATTCTGCTTTGGGTCTTAAATTTGGGTCTTAAATTTAAATAAAGCTAACTTTGAAGGTATGAGGGAAGAATTAGCTATTACCGTCCTCCACAAAATCTGTAAGTGCATCACAAGTCGCATTCCAGCCACATCTTCCACAAAACCTAAATCTCTGCTAGATGGACCTATTTTCTCCCCCTCCAAACATACCTGGACATCTTTACTGAAGAGCTCGACAGTAAAGGTAAACAGCATAGTTTATTTTTTGGTGATGCTCCAGTTTTTATTAGGTACATGGATGCAGATGTAAGGCTATATCAAGAGTGTAAAGGCCTCTCTCACAGGTTTATAAGATAAATGAGTTATCATGTTAAATATACCAATTAGTCTTTGAATAGTAGCATCAGTGCTTTGAAACATAAGACAGGAGTAATTCAAATTGTTACAAAACACAAGTAGTGTTTTCCTAACAAATACCCTTATTGGCTCTTCCAGTCTACTGGGATTACAATCAATGTAACAGTGCTTAAGGCATTCCAGGACACAGTCAGTTTTGCCACAATCCTTCCAAGACTTACCATTAATATTATACCCTGATATTTGTCCTCAAATGCTTAAAATGCTAGTGCTTTTGTACGACTGTGTATTGGGTAAAAAATAACATGTGCATTATCAGCAGCTTGTGCATTATAGCAAAGCATTACTCTTTAAGAGTGGCTCGGAACCACTTTGAGCAGGGCAGCATCTGAACTGCAGCAATGATCTCCAAGTAAAACCAAGTCTTTGAAACTCTGTTGTAACAACACAGGTTTTGAAATGCTGGTCATAGTTTTGTGAAGTTAATGAGACAATCTTTCCCTTGTAGCTTGGTTTGCTTAGTTGCTGAGCTGTAAGTCCACTTTAAAGTCTTTTATTCTGTCTTGCGTGCCCATTGCATGTCATCAGTCCTTGGCTTGTGTCCGGTTAGGTTTTCTATCAGGTATTCAGTTTTCTGCCAAAATCCTAACCTAGCCAGCGGGTAATTCAGCCATCCTGCAGCACAATAAACAGAAGTCATATGTGTTATACAGTGCAATACAATCATCATAACCAACCTTCAAAGTGTCCTGTGTAACTACAATCCAATCCCTTTAACAGATGCAGTGCACTTGCCCTTCACAGTTTTATGTTACTCTAACCCTGTGTTGTTTCACAATGTTAAGCTGTCTATCACACAGCAAATTTTATTCCACTTTAATAAAGAGAAATTGAAATTGTAAAACTCTAAATTAAAGTGATTGATGGGAGCAAGCTGGGAGGGACTGCTGTGTCTTAGTATATTTATTGATGTTCATGGGGTGGTTTGGTAGTGCAAGGTGACAGGTACATTAGGAGTGTATTGAAAGGTGAATTGAAATTAAAGGAATTCACTAACTTTAGTCAATACACCAGAAATACCAGAGTACTGCCACGATGGGTTAAATTGAGATTCAAGGGCCCTGACCTGTGAGCCTGGTGCCTCCGATATGTTTTGTTTAAACTCGAAGATAAAGACCATGTGTTTTTCAAGGGCAGGTGCAACAATTATAATTTCCATTCTGTTGAAAATGCAAGTTTATTCTCCCAGTCTGATCAATTTCCTGAGGTCTTTGGGAAATAGCGGTCACTCTTCTCAAGACCTATGAGAAAATCGCAGCTTTTTATTTGCAACTCCACAAGTTACATGATAAAGTTGTTGAACACAACCGTGGAAATTGCGAAACTTTGATATACAGTGGGCAGATTAAATTGGATCACTTCGACTCACAAATAACTGCAGGGTCTATCTAGAATCTTAATTAGTATTGTGACAGGAATGGTACTTTACTATCAGTGCCTTGGAATGACTTATCCTCCTGAGTTGTGCAAGAACAGAAACCTGTTTGAATTTTTTTTCTAAAAATATATTTTATATACACAGCAGCTAAACTGAGCTAAGAACATCTTCAAAATGTGTTTATCATGTTAAATGATAACGATAAAAGTTAATGATGGGAGCATGTGCCACATCAATGCCTTATTGATCCTTGTGCCCATTTTTCTCATTTCTTACTATTTTTGTTTTACTCATAACTATTTATTACTCTTGACAATGGATTATTAATAACACAACGTGGGGAGTGTTGCTTACTGAGAAGTGCAAACAAAATTCCCCAGAGAAAAGAGAGCTGTTAGGCCACATTCTCCCTTCAAACAGATGCTCTCCCCTGTGGTTTATTCCTAAATAGACTCATCGTTGGTGTGCTACAAAACAACTCATCATTTTTTCCGATGATTGTTTCAGCCCCTGCCTTCCTAGACATAGAGGTTGCTGAAATTGGGTGTTATTTCCTTGTATGTCTGGGCCCAAGCTTTCCACTACCAATTTGATCACGCACCAGAACTGGAGGTGGAGCACAGAGGGGATTTGGCATCTTGGTAAGAGAATATTCAATCCCCAACGGTCCTTGTGGCAGGGTGAATGGCTACTTAAGGTTGTGGTCATTTTTCTATTTCCTGTCTGTTAATGGGGTGTTATTACAGGATTCGCATTTCCCTCCGGGCAAGGATGTGCTGAAACGGATGCGCTTATCAGGTGGACTGGAGAGACTTGGGATGTCCTCCAGATGTGAAAGGTTCGATATAATTGCAATTTATTGTTGTTGTTGGACAAAAGATGATGGATTATGCAGGTGTTACACACTTGTATGCATAAGAGTTTTGTCCTAAACCAACCTAGATTTCAGTAACAGCTCAAACCACCTTGGTTTATGAAAAATTGCTTAACTTAGATGGATAGAAAGGGATTGGCTCTCTGGTGGATCATTCCTCTCCCTGCTGACAGTTAAATTGCACTGCTGTTGGCTATTGGGACAAAATGATTGCCCTTTGAGTCTCAGAACTACAGGTCTTGGGTTGGGATGCATTCTTGGACTGAAGTCTTCACCCCACAGGAAGCAATTAAGTACCTTGCAGCATGCAATCTCTCCCACAAATTTCACAAATCTAAAAAAGTACAGTGATGCCACGGAACTCTCCCAAGAGTACACTAAGGGTTGAGTTCTCTTTAACAACTATAATTAAAAAGAATGAAGTGCTGTGAGTGAACTCTGTAATTGTTCCTCCAGGTCTCATATCAACATGCTGCAACAAAGCCAAAGTCCATCCATCAATGCTCTGAGATATTAACATTAATACATAGTATTAACATTAATACTGTATTATTAACATTAATACTCCACATGAACATGCAGCATTAACATTAATACTCCATATTAATACTAATCACAATAACATCCAGCATTAACATTAATACTCCACATTAACTAATGAAATCATCCTAGTTTTGGATAAAATTCACGATATGTTCCCGTCATGGATTAGGTGTTAGGAGTAATCGGCCAGAGTCAGATTGTTGTTTTTGACCAAGGTGGCAGGATGATAACGCACACTCTTGGGACTCCAAAATCTGGGCTCTTATTAACCTGCGCTTAATGCTCTTGGAATTAAGTAAGCAGGTTGCATCCCTCCATGGAGAATTCCATCCCAGAAATGGGGAAATTTCCATGTGCAGTGGTACATATGTTGAAATCTCAATTTGGTTTGAATACTCTCAAGCATGGCAATAGGTTTCTGCATGTGTCAGTCACCAACCTGATAGGACTAATTGATAGTAAGGATGCTACTACATCAGGCCTTTTGGTTAAAGCAAAGGAGTGGGGAGAATAAAATCAGCCAGCATTTCTTTCCCATTAATCAGTGAGTCCACGAAAAAGAATGTATATGTGGACAGTTTCAAGCTTAGCTGGAACCACACTAATGATCAAACGGCACAAAGTTTGTAACTAAAGTTATGAGTATCATTACACTGGATCTGTTTTTTAAGAATGTGGATTTGAAGGACTGAACATTGACCGCTTTAGTGTACGGTGGGGGCTTAAGTGTTCCTGAGGATAACTCACAATTTGTTACCGATAACATTCACAATTGGCTCTTCCTACCTGTTGTAATGCAGAAGTAGGTTTCGTGTGGCGACACGTGATGGATGCGGTGATGCTTTCTGGGCAGGATGACATGCAGATCCTGCAGTATAATGACCCAACGCGGCAATCCAAAGTACGTGTGAGACCACTTATGGATCTGATTCGTCAGGGTCACAGCTATGGCTAAACTGAACACGTAACAAGCCCAGGGATAGCCTTCACAGGTAACCACTGCAAAGAGAAATAAACAATCAAGTGATTAGACTTGTAATAAAATGCACAGCTCCATCCGAGTGTCCAAGGTTGCCTCTGTTTATTTGCCAGTTGCTAGTTTTCTCATTGTGGACAAAATACACTTTCTCGCAGCTATTGAGCTTCAAGAAAAGGAGGTTTTGCCAGAAACTCAATCCATTTAATTAGCTGCTTGTGAATGCCAAATCTGGCAACAACGTATACGGTTAGTTAAGTTTATGACGAACAGAATGGTCCTTTTAACAAGTACAGATGCACAGAGCCCCGTAAAAATACTCATAAAATCCAACAGGATGCTTCAAAACTATTTGTAAATTGTACAGGATTTCCGCTAAGCTTTAAACGAGTAAACAACAACAACACATTACATTTGTACAGCGCCTTTTATATCAGGAAGACATCCCAAGGGGCTGCACAGTCAGGGTTTTTGACCCGAGCAGGGGTTTGGGATTAGGAGGGGTGGAGGGCGTGGGTAGGTGGAAGGTAGGTGGCTGAAAGGGCGGTCGAAGAGGAGGATCTTGAGACGTGCCTTGAAGGAGGCAAGGGAGGGAGCAAGGCGAAGGGACTGTGGATGGACTTCCAAAGGGTGGGGGCAGAGAGGCTGAAGGCCCGACCGTCAATGGTTGGCCGGGCTAGGCGGGGCACGTGGAGCGGATTGGAGCCTGCTGAATGGACAACAACAACAACAAGATTTCATTTATAGAGAGGCTCTCACGTCGGGAGGACGTCCCAAGGCGCTGGACAGTTGGGTCGGGACCCAAGCAGGGAGGAAAAGGTCAGGGTGAGGGGAGGGAAGGAGCGAGGAGGGGGTAGAGAGTCGAGAGGGGAGCTGAAGGCACGGTTGAAGAGAAAGGTCTTGAGACCGGCCTTGAAGGAGGAAAGGGAGGAAGCAAGGCAAAGGCACTGGGGGATGGAGTTCCAGAGCCTGGGGCTGAGAGGCTGAAGGCCCGGCCACCGATGGTAGGGCGGTTGGGGCGGGGGATGTGGAGCAGACCGGAGCCAGAGGAACGGAGGGTACGGGCAGGTAGGTAGGGTGATAGTACGTTGGAGAGGTAGGAGGGAGCGAGGCCATGAATGGCCTTGTAGGTGAGGATGAGGATCTTGAATTCAATCCTCTGGGGGATGGGGAGCCAGTGGAGGCGAGCGAGGGTGGGAATGATGTGGTCCCGAAGCCTGGTGCGGGACAGTACACGAGCTGCAGAGTTCTGAATGACCTGCAGCTTGTGGAGGGAGGTGGCGGGAAGGCCGGCGAGGAGAGAGTTCCCATAGTCCAGCCTTGAGGTGATAAAGGCGTGGACCAGAGTTTCGGCAGCGTGAGGGGTGAGGTAGTGCCGTAGTCTGACAAGTTGATATGGGGTCAGCAGGTCACAGATGTAGGAAGGAGCAAGGCCATGGAGGGCCTTGAAGGCGAGGATAAGTATAACTAACCTAAAAAATTCAATGCATCTTACATTTCACAATGTGCAAAAAGCTGATTAAGTCACAAGGTTCAATCAATGCACTGATGGCTGATCAGCAAATGTATGGCTAGACATTATCTTAGGTTACTAAGTACTGAATTCCTCTCTCTGCAACAGTGCTTTCCCTGACAGGAGAAGCCGGGTAAGGAGAAGAAAGAGGTCACTGACCTGCGCAGCTCTGGGATGAAAGCACAGTTTGGTTCCAAAGGCCCACTCTATCAACCCTTTATATGGTTAACCTACTGAGTGCTGTGTATCCTTTGCTGCTTTCAAAATTCCCAAATGTTTCTGACGAGGTAACAGCTGCAAAGCGATTCTCTTGCAACTTTCCCTTAGCTTAATATTGCAACAATTAACTGCAGAGAGTGCGATTTTTATGTTCAGAATTAATCAAGAGACTGAACTTTTGCTTAATGGGAGGGAGATCAGTCAAATCACCCATCGGTGCTCACTAGGTTAGCCAGTTATTGCTGGAAAATTCAGCTGTATGAAATACCAGAGGCCATTGGAGTGGGCAAGTCTGCAGGGCGATTATTTTTTTTGCTCTTTGAAATTGTTGAATCACTGTGTTATAAAATATTTTCTATTTACGTTTACAAACATTGAGAACAAATCATCTATTTAGTGGGTTTGAGACAAAATGTAGAAATGCTGGCACCTTGTAAGAGACAAAAGTCAGGTAATAACCTCAAGTAGGATGTGGTAAGAGACCATCAGGGATATCCATCATAACCTTGGAGGGTTAAAAAAGCGCTTCTACACAACAACAGCTTAAACAAAATTGGTTGTTCACTTCACGGCTGGTTGTGAGATTTTACCGTTCACAAATTGGCTGCTGTGTTTGGCTATAAATTCATAGTTTGCAGTAAACCCTGTGAAGCCCTTTAAAATGTTTCAATGTTAAAATATCAAGTGTAAGGATTATCATTATGTATATAATTTAACTGAAAGCAAAAACATTGTTTAGTAAATATTTCCTTGGTACAAAATACTCACCAAATTTTACTTAAAAATACATCCAGTTTGTTAAAGTGTTCATGAGCTGCGGGCGGATAGAAACCACGTTTAATGTAATAGATGCGAAGAGCATTCACAACTCAAAGGCGCAATGTATCATGGCCACGTTACTGAAACTCGAGCCAGGTATTAAGACAGAATATCCAATTGTGAAGGAATAAAGCGATGTAGAAGAGTACAAACTAGAAATTATCTGGAGAGATTAGGAAATTTAAAACACCCAATCAAATGAAGACTTTGTTTCCCCTCCCTTCCCCCACTCCCACATTTGACATCAGTGTGCATTAATGTCACTGAACAGCCAGGAGCAAGCAATTGGTGCTGGACAAATTTACAAGAAAACTCAAGTTATTTTGTCTCTGATCTGTTGCCTCCCCTGTAATTTTGGATGAAAATTACTTTTAAGAGACTGCATCAAATAAAACATGACCCTCACATAGCTGGTTATTGCTAATAGATTCTGCGAGGCAGCACTCAGAAAATTGATGGCTAACTCCAGGAGTAAAACAGACCAAATTCCTCGTGTACCACCAGCAGATGGTGCTATAAAAGAACAATTTGAGTGCTTTCAAAGCTTGCCTTTGGGAAAGCTTATGAAGGGTCTATTAAGTATTTAATTAAAGAGATGATATCCGTTTAATTGCCTGCTTGTGACAGAATCGAACACAATAATAAGTCAAGTCTGCAGTCACCCTCCCCACTCTGGTTGTCTCAAAGAGTTCAGCATTGCTCACTGAGGCAAGCACATCAGATGAGAGAACCGTGATTGATCTGTGTAGCACAACCCGACCATCATTTTATTGACCCTGCGCGCTCACAGAAAACGTCTCACTAAACGTTTTTCACATCTGATGAATGTTCTTCCGCAAGATCTGATGGAAACGTCACTCGTGTTCAAAATGTTTAATGAATGGCCTAATTGCTTAGCTGCGGAGGCGTCCGTTCAGGAGCAGCAAAGATTCGATTCATTTTTGAAGATTCCTGATCAATGTAAAACTGTTACTGCCAGTCTCTGACACACAAATATCTCCTATTCGCTTCATGCTCCAAAACTGGCTAAAAAGTGGTGACATAGCTAATGGTCCACTGGCAGATTGCTGCAGCCCCAGCAAACAAATGAACCATGAACAGCTTTGTCAATCGCCACTGGAGCAGGATCTCACCCGCTGATGGGTTGGCATTGGGTTGGCACTGGGTTGGCCCCCCGCATTGGCAGCCGCCTGGCCAGCCTGGAGTGGGTCTGATCCTATTCTAATGCTGGCCCAGCCCACCAGGAAGTGCAATAATAGATCAGTACAAATCTCTGCCGCATGCTTTTATTTTTTTTGACTGCACTCTTCTACCCTTCCCCTCCCTCCACCTCTCTTGATCCCGATCCCCAGCTCGGGTTCAAATCCCTGACTGTCCAGTACCTTGAGATGTCCTCCCAACATGAAAGGCACTACACAAACATAATTTGTTGTTGTGGTTTTCTGTTCCCCTGAATTCTTCTGAATTCCAAGGATGCCCAAACAAGCCAAAGTGTCAGAAGATAAGTAAGCAAGTGAACAGCCTCTCAGAATTCCCACCAGAAGCAGTCAAAGGGTTAATTTGATCTGGGTTTGTTTACAGTTATTTGCGAAGACCATACATATCCACTTCTCCAAACTGCCTGCTTTAATTACATTCCTGACCTTTCTCACAATGCATTCTACTGTCAGGGCTCAGTCAGCTACTGTGAGTCGGGCAAGACTTCAGTAGCTTGCAAATTAAATACCTCCCACAACTCATTACTGGAGGAAAAGGCAAGAAACTGAAACATTTGATGTGCACATTTGTTCTGCGCTGTGCTAAAACACGCATTTTTAAAAATTGTGATTTACATTATAAAATGTAATTAATTTGTAATAATATTTGCATTTGGTGTAGCACCTTTCACATTGGAAGGATGTTGGAAAGTGCTTCACAGGATTAACTGTAAAGAATGGTGACTATGTATTTTGCAGGTAAATGTGGCAGCCAATTTGTGCGCAGCAATGTCCCACAAACAGCCGGGAAGTGAATGACCAATTTTATCTGGGGATTGTTGGCACATCAACAGGAGAAACTGGTAACATCCCATGAAGACAGAAAGTATTAACCCGGACTGGAAAGGTTATTTCTTGTGGGTTTAAATGTACATTCCATGCAAAGAATATACATTATGCAAATCAAAGCTTCCCTTTTGCAAGCTGCCCTCTCAGAGTTACTTTTCAAACACTGATGGTGCTGCAGTGTTCCCGATTCCTGAATCCTAGCAGAAGCAGGTTAATCTCTGGGAAAAGTGGCCAGACATTTATGGCAGGACTGCGAGGATCTTGTGTGGTTTTGGAGGACCATTGATATTGGCTGCACTTCCTGGTCTGTGAGCTGGCTAAAGAATTCCAGAACACTGCGGGTAGAACAGTGACCGTCGTTTCCCACATTCACAACTTAGAGGTTGGGGAAGGGAGTTTACAGTGCAGTTTCCTGCAAAGATTATCGGGAGACAGAACAGTATGAGTCCAACTAGAGGAAGAAAAGAACACCTGGTCAATCAGTTTTCCAGCCACAGACGGAACATCCCTGGGAATCAGAACTCAGACACCACCACAAATTGTCAGAGCCCTACAACTTACATCTAACAAGGCATTTATACTGGCGAGAGCGTCCAACCTTTTTCTCTTCTGGAGCACGATAACACCCATGAATACTCATTCTTCAACGGATTTACTAAATACAGTCACTACACTTGACAGTCATTGCCAGTGATGTGCTTGGAGATATTTCACTGTTACAGATGTTATAACAAGGACAAAAAGATTATTATTTCTTATTTTTATTTATAGCTCTGTCTCGCTGTGCATGCTGGCCAGCTTTCTTTGGCCTGTACCCCAGTTGTCCTACTCAACCCATAAAAGGGGACTTCTGCTACCCAACATGTCAGTTCTGATGAAGGGTTACACCCAGAACATTAGCCAATCCTTGTTCAAAGTGCTGGTTGACCTGCTGGGTATGGCTACCATTTTCTGTTTTTTATTTCAGATTTCCAGCATTTGTAGAGTTTTTAATGTGAAACACCACCATCTGATTCCTCATCCCTTAGCTAAGGGCCTTAGCAGCTGCATCTCTGACTGAGACTGAGGCTGCATCTCCTGTTGACCTCTAATGGACCAAGGGAGATGACCCTCTGCTCTCTGTAGGCAATTGCATCAGCAAATGACCCTTGATTTTCCCTATATATCATCTGAACTACATGGTATCATGTGTTGCCCCCACCACAAAAGAGACCATTGAACTGGTCGCTGGTTCTATCGAGCAGGAATTGACTCAAACCGATTGCACTGTTATTCAAATAGGAAAATCCTGGAGAGAGTTTGCAAAATCGGATGAGCTCACTCGTGGTAAATTATATTTTTTTAAAGTTTCACAGGTTTTTTGGCACAGTCAATTTTTTAAGCTTGGTGGGGGGAGGGAGTCAGTTTCCAAATTACAATTGAATTTAAGACTATTTTCTAAAATTCTGCACAATTTCTACTTTAACACTAGGGTGTTACGCCTTAGAACACAATTTACTTTGATCGTCAGCATGTCTGAGGAACGGTTGTATATTTTATCTGTACAATAATAAGAACTCATATCTGAAACAGCACCTTTCCCGTCAAAGGAAGTCTCAAAGCACTTCACAGTTATACCGTAAAGTGTAATAATGACTGTGTATTTTCTAGGCGAACATAGAAAAACAGAAGGAGGTACATAAGGGAGAAAAATAGTAACTGAAGGCTGGAAAAATACAATCAGTGGAAAAGAACCAAGTGAAAAATAAATTTACACTGAGGAAAACGCATCCGAGTGCAGGAGAAAATGTTAGCGAATAGAAAGAAAATCCTGTGATATGCAACAAAACCTCACTCTGCTTATCTGTTAACATAGAAGCATCGGAATGAAATGCATGTCAATGTTTTACAGTCTACAGCATGGCGATCGGCTTGCAAAGTTTTGTGTCGTTATTGAATTGTGTCAGAGGCAGAGTCCCTGACTGACCAGAGCCCAACTGGGAAGGGAGCTTTAAATGCTTGCATCATTGTCAGAAATAAAATCATTACAATCTTAATATTAAGAGTCCTCAAATACAGAAGACTATTACCATTAAAATAAAGATTCTAAAACTCAGGCCTTGACAACAAGCCCCTAGCCAAAGCCCCTTCGGTCAACACAGTTTTATGAAGCTTAATGATAATAATCCTTGCATTTGATATAGCCCCATATCACGTCTTCGAGACGTCTCAAAGGACTTCACGGAATATACTGTAAAGTGAATTGGCTGGATATTTTGTTGGCGAAACTCTGAAGCAATACCAAATAATATTTTAACTTTCATCTCAGTTAAAAAAAATTACAGATGCTCTGAACTGTTAGCAAAACAAACACTGGGACTTCATTCTTGGGCAGGGATTTGAAACCCAAGCAGTCACTAATCTAGAAAAGCAGACACTCCCCTTCGAGGTATTGGTCCAGAGATAGCAGTCGTTGTTGTCTGCTGCTGCAAACACCGTGTGGCTTTTTGGCAGCGACTTCCACATTTTTACATTTCGGCAGCTGAACTATTACAAGTGCTGCAGCTGCAGCCAAGCATCACATACTAGACACAGGCGTGAACTCTAGCTCCAAAATGTAAGCCCCAACTGGCTCCTGGCATATGAAATGTGACCTTTAATTCTGCCCAGGGTTAAAGATCAGCTGGACAATAGCACTGCTCCATTTTGGCCAACCTTCCATCTGCGACGCTCAAATGGCTCATTGTTTCCCCTTGTGTTCCACCTTTTCTCCCAGTCTAACCTAATTTTATCATTATCATTCACCCTTATGTGTCTTTCCTTCAATTGAGAGGACGGGAGATCATTTAATGCCCGTTTTCCAATGTTCCTCAGTTAAACGTGAACAGCCCTTCATCATGGAAAGAGGGTAGGGGATGGTTTTATCAGCTATTAGTTCTCACTGTTTTATAGCACAGCCCAGTACTCGTGTTCAAGCGAAGGACTGACAATCTTGGGCTGGCTTGATTTATTGCCAGGTTCTCCTACAAACACAGTCACTACACCTTACAGGAAACTTTTTGAAACATATCAAATGGAAGGATAGTTATTATTCATGGATATTATGGCAAAGGTGGGGGAATTGTAGGGGAGTCTGATCCAGTCTTCACCCGCACCATCCACTTTCATTTCCAGCAGTGGTCACTGGATCGTGATCAGCAGCAGATACTCTGACAGATGTTTCCACTTTAAAGGTAATGAGCTCAATTGCAGTGACCTGACCGCTACACATCTGAGATAGGTTAACTTAGTACGAGGGCATGGATCAGATCCTCTGGCTCAGTCGTACACAATGTGCTGAACTTATCTATTGAGCAAGGACAACCAGCAGTTGCTGTGCCAACAACTGAATGCACATTCTTACATTACACTGTGGATAATCAGATCATTGTAACCTTTATTCAGAGAAATCAACATTTGTGTATTCATAAACAGAACAATTCTTAGCTGTTGGAAGGACAGGTCACTGGACAGGGCTTTGTGCTCTTACCTGGAGCATTGGTGGTAAACATGCAAGTCAAGTAAGCCAGAGGAAATATGGTAAACATGCAGTTATCTCCATTAGTTTCAATGAGGTCGTGCCTGGTTATTGCAGTTGGGTCAATATGATGTTCTCGGAAAGGTCTTAGAAATGCCTGCAAGTTAAAAACACAGAATTAGCATTCCCAAACACAACGGTTTGTCCATCATCTAATCCAGTAACAAGAGGAACGCAACCCAAGGGAAGGGGTAAACAATTCAATCAAAATTAGTTCAAAAATCCATTTAATAACACACGGCTTATAAAGGGAGTTACATTTCTAGTTTCATCTTAGAATCAAATGTCCTTGAGACATAACCAACATATGAGATAACATATGGGATTGGACCAATTGCTGTGAGTCGTAGCAAGTTTGCAACAAGTACCAACTTCCAGCTGAAGTAAAATACAGTACGGTGTTGAAATTGTCCTACCCTAAATAAAAATAAATGAGTGTAAGCAGGTGCAGGTTTTGAGGTAACCGGGGATTACCTTAGCTCCCTGTTGTGTTGCTCTATTTTACCAGGAGTCTCTTGTGAACAGAGTGGAATAGATAAGATGGAATCTCATTACTTAGAAGTCCACATTGTAGAGTCAAAATGGTTGATAACTGACTGGCTCACTTATAGAAAGCTCCATTGATATAATCCAGGCTCAGCACTGCTCAGTACCTGAAAACAGAGCCGCATTCCAGTTACTTTTATGATGCCAACGGTCTCCATTTGTTAAAACCTGCTGCCTACTCTTGTGTCAAAACAGATTATAGTCTTGAGCTATGTGTTTACAGTTTATAGCAATAATATCCTACATCCCCGCAGGCATCAGAGAGTCTCCAATAATAACCTTCTCTGAGCCACGGCAATACGTGCAGTTATTTGCACAAGAAATGTTAAAAATGTTTTTCCAACATAAAACTGTAATTGGCAGAAAAGGTCTGAAGTGTCGTATGGTCTCCAAAGCAAACATTAACCTATTAAATAAAAAACCTTTCCAATATGGTGGAGACATGCAATAAACCGATGTGAAAACTCTGCTTTATGTTGATGAGACTGTAGTGTATGGATCAGTTGGTACCACAGTGCAACAGTAAACATTGAATTAAAGCTTACGATCAGGCAGTCATTTGGAACTTATTCTCTAAACGGGTCAGCAACTGGACCACTAGGAATACCCTTCCAATTGTGGTTGCAACCATTTATTTACCACCACTCCCCCCCACACACACACACACACATATTCTTCATGCTGTACTTAAAGCCTGGATCAATTCCACACACAATGCTCATATAACATACAGTCAATTTACTTTACATTATATTCTGTGAAGCGCTTTGAGAAGCCTCGAAGACGTGATAAGGCGCTGTATCAAATGCAAGTATTATTATTATTATTATTATAATAATAAATATAAACAATTCCAAGATCATTGCCATGGACAAGAAGCAATAATCTGCCCTCGGACTTCGTTCAAGTGACATTTTTGAATCAGCCTCGGACTGAGCTGTGGGAAAGCCGCCCGGGGTGACTCTCAATACCCTGATCTTTGACACCCTGCTCCACACTTCCTCAGGAAGTTGCCACTGAGATCAATCAGTGCCTCCTTGCTAACGAGTCAAATCATTGCCTGTGTTATGGTTGTGCATTGAACGTGCGGGAACTTAAACTGGCTCATTTTACAATAACGTGATGAAGTTTAAAAAAAAACACGCCAGATGGAAAGGCCGGGCCCATGGTAATTTCTAACATCAAATGAGCAGTCCTGGCCCCATCTCCAAAATGTGCTCACAAACAGAAATATTTCACAAAAGTGTTGCACAGTGCAGATTTGTTTGATTGCATTGTGTAAGGCGACATGGCCCCTTTAACAGGATGATCTTACCTTCCAGTGCTAGTCTCTCTTCCACAGGGCCCAGCAAAGCAACAAGCTGATTTCAATTAATCTGATTCAAACCCAAATCTTCAGGTCATTTAAAACAGCTCTTTCTGGAAAGTTCCCTTCAGTTCAGGTCCTTACTCTGTATAGTGCAACTCTCTGTGGATTCTAGCTTTCCTTTGCCTCATTAGGAGTCACCAGTACATTTGGTTCACATCAGTTCATGCCCAATTTACAATAAAGCTCTGTGAATTTGCATTTGAGTGTGAATAAAGGATCAGGAACATTTGCCGGGTATGTGAGGAGGAAGCAGCATTGTGAACGGGTCACAGAAACAAAGCATTTATTTTTAGAGACAATTTTTTAATTGTGGCCCAGATGTCAGTACACTCACAAGACAATGCACATATTAAATGCTACAGATCCAGTCGGCCCTCACCTTGCCAATGACAGGGATATCAACAGAACCCCAGGTGTCTGCTCCCCAGTGAACCAAGCCGGAGGCGAAATCCGCAGTAAGAATCCCAGCAACTGGAAAATATGGAAAGGATTAGAGGATCCATAATGAGCACACAGGCCAAATCTGTGTATGTTCAGGCTGAGAATTCTGATTTTTTTTTACCCACATTCAAAACGTTAAGAAAAAATGAGAAAAACTGCCACTTATGAATCGATTAATTTACTGGGGTTTTCTCTTCCTCCGCCCACCTAACTCCAATCAATCGTGTAAAAATAATTAGATTTATTTAAAAGAAACAGCACTGGAATTTCTATGCACTGTGTTATGAAATGTACTCACGTCCTTTGTAAATTAATGGTGTTTTTGGTGTTTTCTCAATTTAAAGGAGCCTTGATGGGAAACACACCATTGATACCCTTAATACAGGCAAAAGCAACAGAGAATTTGGCACAGCTATCAATATTTAAAAACAAAACAAAATGAAAGCTAATCTATGCAGTGGGTTAGTCAGGCTGGCCGCTCAGAAGGTGTGCTGGCTGAAGCACAGCAACATGCCGTGCAGTTGGGCACAAAATACTCCCCTCTCCTTGTGAGTCTCTACAATCTCAGCAACCGTCACTGGACAACCTACCACCCCAGTCGGCTTCCACACCCCCAACCCCCCAAACCCCATCCCACCCCTCCACAGGACCTCAGGGTTGAAGCAGCCAGCAACAAGCTCCCACTGTTCAACCCCTCTGTGCGTTTCACCATCTGGGATCAGATCACCTGCTTTGCCCCTTGGTGAGGGTACAGCGCACGAGGGTGGAAGGATGCCAGGAATGTTTTTTTTTAATTTTGCAGCGACTGAAACATAAACCTTTCAGCGCAGCATCACCACAGGGAATGGCCACGTGATCGATCTCCTGATCCAAATAAAATCTTCACAATTCTTCATGGGCCCCGGTAGCTGCGAATGCTTTCGAAATCTAAAATCATCGTCGTTTTATTTCTCGATCGCAGACAAAGAAAGCGAGGAGAATAACCTGCTCTCTCACCGCGTGCTTTCCTTTGCCAAATCCATTTTTAAGCCATCTGCTGGAAGGTGCATTTATATGGCCTGGGGGAGAACTGGCAATTTTATTTCCCTCTCTCTACCCCGACCCCCACCCCCCACACTCCGTCCCCTTCACTTCTTCTGGACAAATGCTCTGTTTTTGCTCTGCATCCCAATTTTGCGTGCGGAGAATCTTAGTGCTTGTCTGCACCCTCCAGCAACATGTGCTTGGTCACCCCTCGCTCACGGCAAGCATGCTCAACTGCAGTCACGCTGTTCTGTGGCGCTTCGAGACACTATCCCGTGCGAAGGGCGCTTTATAAATGCAAGTTGTTCCTGTTGTTGTTGCGGCACTACAAAACAATATTACATTTGTATAGCTCCTTTCACGTTGGGAGGACGTCCCAAGGCGTCAGGCAGTCAAGGTTTTGGACCCGACCTGGGGGTCGGGATCGGGGAGGGTGCAGGGCAGGGAGGGCGGGCAAAGGCGAGGGTTTTGAGACGCGCCTTGATGAAAGCAAAGAGGGAGTGAGGAGAAGGGAATGTGGGATGGAGTTCCAAAGGGTGGGGGCAGAAAGGCTGAAGGTCCGACCGCTGCTGGTGGGGGACGTGGAGCAGGCCACAGCCTGCTGAGTGGAGGGAGTGCAAGGGTTGATATGGGGTCAGCAGGTCGCAGAAGTAGGAAGGAGCAAGGCTGTGGAGGGGCTTGAAGGCGTGAATGAGGATTTTGAACTCTATCCTCTGGGGGATGGAGAGCCAGTGGAGCCGGGCAAGGTTGGGGGTGATGAGGTCACGGAGCCTGGTGCGGGAGAGGACACCAGCTGCAGTGTTCACCACTCTGTATCGTTAAAGGCAGCATTGCTCCCCTGCGCTGGTCTGAATACAAGATATCAGTGCCAAGGAACTCTCAGTCTATAGTACATCACTCATCAGCGGACTCCACAAACAAGAGCACAACGGACACTCAGAGCGCTGCATCATTCCTGCTGCAAGTTACTGGAATGCATTACCAAAAGGCTCACCCAATGCATTTTAAACAGATCAGGCCCACTTAAAGCCGCGCAAACCTCCTCAATTAGGAATTTGCATTCAAGGAGAACTCGGGTCAAGTGATCAGCTTTAAAAGAAACCATTTTCAAGATGGTCTCGTTTTTAAATAATGGTTTATTGATTGATCGTGCTTCTCCTGACCAAGGGAAAGAGGCCAAGTTGACGTGATGAGGGGTGATCTTTTACCAGATGAACAGAGCTCCACAGTAAGGAGTCTTCAAGTAAAATCAGGTTCTTATACACAGCCAGGACAGGCATGGTCCAAATTATAAATGAAACACAACTGCACTTCACTTGTAATATTAATTGTCGTTTTTTTAAAAAAAGATTAAAAGATTTTAAAAAATAATTTTTTCCTGCAATGCATTTTTAAAGCAAAGATCATTATTTCTAAGGAATATTTCAGAAGCAAATCGTGCAGCTGGTTCAAAGCTTTAAAGCTGTGAGGTTCGCCTGTGTTTGTGTGTATGTGTGTGTGTGTGTGTGTGGGAGCAATGGGCACCAAGCTGCAGCCTACATCTCAGTTACCACATCTTCCCCACTGCTTTCCCGGCACAACACGCTGCCTCGGCTCTGTCGTTTCATTAAAACGAATTGACTGGGTAGCCGAGTGCCAAACCTGGTCACAAATCAACTTTCGTCGGGTTTCTTTTCACATGATTCGTATTCCCGTTCGGTGCTGAAGATGAAATCAATGCCACAACCAGTCCAGTGTTACATTACCATCAAAAGTTTAATTTTGTGGGTTTTTTTAAAATAGAAAGCGCACATATACTCTCACACACAGAAAGAAGGCAATTCTTATTACCATCATGGTTATTGCACAGTGCAGTGACAGGCAATTCTCACTACATTTATAATGCACAAGCTACCAGCTAGGGTTAGTGATACAGAATAAAGCCATAGGGGTGGAGGAGATGTGGATTCTCAAACGATTGAAAAAAAATTCCAGGCTGTAGCAATTAGCTTTGTAAAAGTGATTCTTGTCCATATTTTAGCCACTTTCAAAGAAGAAACTTACAGCACTGCATTATCTACATCCAGTACTGCCACAGTCCCATTTAACCTACAGCAAATGTTTATAACATTCCCACTTTTCTTTCAGTCTCAGCTACAAGTGAATAATCCTAAAATCACGAGTGAGGTTCAGATGAAGAAGGCCCTTCGGCCACTTTGACCTCATCCTTCCAGAATATCAACCCAACTGTCCTCCAAACACAGATTCAAGCTCTTTTTTAAATGAGTCCAGTGTCCTTGCTTGAACTATGCATTATGGTAACTTGTTCCACTCATGAAATAACCTCTGGGTAAAGAAATACTTCTTGGTGTGTGTCCTGAAATTGTCCTTTGCAACCATGCGTTTCGCCCACAAAACATACAATCAATTCACTTTACAGTGTATTCTGTCTTTGAGACGTCTTGAAGACGAGATAAGGCGCTATATCAAATGCAAGAATTATTATTATGAAGCCCAGTTCTCTTGTTCTCAGTCCATCTAAAAGTAAATGGTACATTTTTGCTTCAGTTTAGCCTATAGCTTAGTCACTTGTATGTTGTTAGCATTCCCCTGGGCAGAAATGTTAAGACATTCTCCTTACCCAGGATTACACTTCAGCTGGAGGCCCATGTATTATTGAAGTAAAGGAATAATATCCACAGATGCTGTAATGCTGCAGGATGTACACTTGTATTGTAATTGTATCATTCCTGGTTATAGCTGGAGTCATGCAAATGGACCACAATAAAGCCCACTCACACTATAAAAATAAAAAGCACCATGTGAATAGTCACAAGGTACATCTTTGCTCTGGTTCATAAGAGAATGTCAGTGTGAGAAAATAATCCTTGGGTTTTGCAGAAGAAAAAGGTGACAACCAGTTGTGACGATCATTGGTTTGTTCTAGCGATCAGGTGTACAGCAGTAGGTCAATAAATGCAGGGATGGCTTAAAGACCTTAATGAGGAGAAATGTTTGGATAGTTTACAGATGCAAATCATGCTGCTTCAGCATATCAGCACTGCTTGGGGAGAGCTCAAGTAAATACACTTGCGTACATCTCTCGTCCTGAGGCTATGAATTTGACAAACTAAATGAGTCTATAAACCTACTGAGTCCTGAATGCAAGTGAAATCTTTCCCTGATCTACATTATAACAACTTAAATTATAGTCATGAATCTAACACTGTGTAAGCAATCTTCACAACAGGGAACAGAGATGCAACCTCTTATCATTGCAAATTCCATTGTCTTAGCTTTGTATTCAAACAAGAAATCTAGTCACGTTATATATACTCACTACTCAACCTTTTATTGTGTGCTTTTCAGTTTTTTACAATTGAAATTGACGTCTCATGACTGAAAGCTTATAAAGTTTCTGGGATTCATTTATAAGAGATGATACTGATAAATAAACCGTTGTGTTTTGAAGAGACAGAAATGATCAAACCTCATTTCTACACATGAAAACAATTGCATCGAGACCGAGTACCAGACTTCACTTGAAATTACAGACGAGAGAGAGGAGACCTGGGGAGGTCAGAGCTAGCTTCTGCCTTTGCAACTTCACATTATAGCTCAGTCAACCTCCCATTAACATATTTAACGTCATGAAAAACTCGTGAAAGAGAGACCCCAGAGAGATCTGGGCTTTGAAGTTCACTCGGGATGTCAGGAGAAGGAGGAAGGCCACAAAGACATGCAAATGGCATTGTCAACAAATAGGTCAGACTGGTAGCACTCAGTTTCTTTTCTACTAAACGTTGCAGTATTATTAAAATCATGAAAGGTTTCAACAACTTGGACGTTAATAGGCTTCCACTTGGTTTTCACTTGCAGGCAAGTCCAAAGTGTTGGGACAGAAATAGGAGATAATAGGGAGTTTCCACTTGTGGCGAGTCCAAAACTAGAGGGCATACATAAAAGCTAGCTAGCAGTAGATCTAGTAGGGAGATTAAAAGGGACTTCTTCAACTAGGAGAGTGGTGA